ATCGATGGGGGAAAGCTATCCTCCCATCCGTCACGGTTGTGAATCCTTACTCGGGTCTTGCCTCGAGCATCAAATTGATATCTTGCTCCACCAGTCAAGATAACGACGTCGCCGAAGTGGTCGTGCGCCTTGTCAAAATGGAAGGATTCCGGGCCAACCGCACACCCGTTAACCAGTCCTTCAGTATCAGGTACTGGAGACACAAGGACCATGGCTGTTGGAGAAGGTCCCTTACGGGTACCTTCCTCAAGCAACCCCTCGATTGGTCCCTTTAAGGGTACCAATCTCCAGGGATGCTTCCGAATCTTCTGCAACCAGGGCCTTCACTGCAGGCCTAGCTCTGACTACGGACCTACATTCAGGGGTCCTAAGTGCCTTAACGCAGGCTGGTAAGTCCTCTTCAAAGGTACTTAAGCATAGTAGTAGTAATCCTGTTTCCTGGCACCTAGCGAGAGGCACCCGCGACAATGAGCCATCTTGGTTGCGGATCATGCAGGTACATGTTTTCATGTCCTTAATAAGCCCTAAGGTGCTTTGGGCAAACAGGCTCAGCAGCAAGGGGTTTCGGGCAGAGGTGTCTACTTCGTGAGATTCTAGTACACCCCCAATGGTTGTGTCCCCCTTGACTATGCTGAACGGCAAACGACGTTTTCCAAGTGTGTTGGATGTTGCGCCTAAACCCGCAAACGACTTTTTCCTAGAATCAACCCAGGGGAAACTTAGGCCTAGCGCCTTAAGTCTCTTCTCGGCTAGTGCTCCCCAGGATGCACTATGGCAGGTGGAATTGCAACCTTCGTCGAGGGCACCCCATACGTGGGCCTCTAACGGGTCCCACATGTCTACTAGGGGTAAGTTGTCAATTCGAACTAGATCGCTACCAGAAGCTGATCCTGCACCTGCAATATTCCTAGGAAAAACCTTAGGTTTCCCATCGCCCTTTCCCTTAGCCTTCGCCTTAGAGAGGGCCTTGGGCGGTGCAGGTTGGCTTGGCTCTGAAGGTGAGGTCCCTCTACCTTTACCTCGCTTAAGCCACCTAGGTTTAGGTTCTATCCCTGCTCCCTTGCCCTGCCCGATGGTCCTCGCCGGTACCGCGGTCGAAGATGAGTTACCACTGTCGGGCAGGTCCTGTCGAGAGGCGGAGGCACTGGCCCGGGAGGGTCCAGTGAAGCGGTTAGGCCTTGTGACGTAAGGATCACGAGGCTCTTCCTCAGCTTGCACATAGGCTTGTGCTGCGTCTGCCTCCCATACAACCGACCTATCTACGAAACCACCCTTAGGGTTTTCCTTAGGGGTCGGCTCGACTGGATTAGGGGCCTTAGGGATATTTTGGTTTTGGCTCGACGACGAGGATGCCTGGGCATTCCTCGGGGAGGATGCTTGAGCATTCCCCTGCGGGGGCGAGGAGGCTTCCGCCTTCCACTTGGCGCGGATGTACTCAGGTCCTGCCTTAGCGCAGGCCTCTCTGTACTCCTCCTCACGCCTTTGTGCGTCGAGTTCTCTCCTCCTGGCGAAACCCTCTGCCAGGATCTGCTCCCGTCTGCGTCTCCAAGCATCATGCCGTGGGAGATTCTGGAGGTCCAGATCTCGCTCTGTAGGATCCTCCCACCAAGGGACCGGTTCGGTTCCCTGTCGCTGGCGTGCTTGGAAGTCCAGCTGCATGATCTCCCTTCCGGGAACGTGTCGCACTTGCAGACGGTTCTGAGCCGCCGACGCTGAGGCAGGAGGCGTCACACTGTCGGATACGGCATCATTCTGAGTCTGCTGACGCGCCTGCTCAAAAGCTGCGTCCAGATCCTCTTGAGCTTGCCTGGCGATATAATCGTCCAGCTCAGCAACATTGTAGGATCCTGGCGATCCGTCGTCTGACGAACCACCCGGGAACGGGTCGTACAGATCGTCATCGGCCCTGAAGCTTTCTATTAGAATAGCTTCTCGATAATCGCGATCGAGGTCCGGGTCCTGACTGTGCACAACGGAATCGGTCCCCAGGGGATCCGAGATGTTGTACAGCTCCGGAGTATTTGGGGCTGGTTCAGGCTCTGGAGCTGGATCTGGCTCTGAAGCAGGAACGGCTGGAACAGGCTGCTTAGCCTTCCCCTTTCCTTTGTTGCGCCCGGGGCTACGCCCTCGGGCCACCATTGCTGTCGGGGCGAACTCCCAGGAGGGACTTATGGGACTAGACCCGACTACCATGGTGATTGCTTCCTTAAGCCACAAGTGAAGCCCTGTTGGGTGAATCCGTTCCTCCAACGCAATGGCCTGGTTGATGCGATCTTGGTACAAACCCATGATCTGCAGCACTGCCTCAGGGTCGAGGTCAGCGGTCGCGTCGTCAGCGGTAACCGCTTGAACCAAGGGAAGCGCGAGGTCCGTCGCTTCCAAGATGCGTTCCGAGACGGCTTTCCGTTCTCGGTGAAACTCCTGCGGCACTTCATCAACGATAGTGCCACACATTCTGCAGAAGGTTCGGGACGTGGTCCTCGAACTACCCCGATGGTCTGTTGCTTCGTGTGAGCATACAGAGGGGTCTACGGTATATACATGTTCCCGTTTTTCTTGGGATACATGGCCGCCGTCCCTGCAGGTCTTGCGGACGTAATTTGCGGAACTTCCTTGGTAGGAGAATTCCGTGCACGAGCTACACTTCTCCGCCAAGGGCGGATTCGGTGGAGTCTTCTTCTTCGCGCCCTTTCCCCTCGGGCGAGGGTTATAGGTTCCCTCAGGGATACCTATCGAGGCACGAGTTTCGCGATAGTATTGACCTCCTACACCCTGCTGAATGACATAATATCTGTTAAACCAGGTGAGAAAATCCTTAAGGTGCGCGGCCGGGCTCGGCTGGACGAGGGCCCAGCGCACGAACTCAGTCTTACGGGATACCTCCTCGTAAGTCTGGCCCTTGTGTTGACCGAGATTAAATCTTCGGTCGGCACCCTCCATCTGCATTGAGCTAGATGGTTGTGAGGGGGCAGCCTTGGATCTGGCTTCGCCTAGATCCCGCACCATATGGCCACTAGGGTCCATATCGTTCCCTGAGGGAACGTACAGGCCCCCGTCGGGGTCCTGTCGCGGGTCCACAATTGCTATGTGGGCCCGGGGTTTCCCTTTCCCTCCTTTAGAGGTAGGGAATTTGCACTCGGGGTCACCTGCCCAGTGACCAATAGCTCCACACCTGAAGCATTTCGACCGTGCCTTCAGGTTTTTCATTTTCTCGCGACGTTCGTCGAGCGTAAGGTGTGATCGCACTACCTTACCTTTCCCTTTTCCTTTGCGGCCCTTGCCCTTACGCCCCTTCGCTTTTCCGAATGCGGCGTTCGCGGCAAGCTGCAATTGAATTACATGGCCGCTGTCTGCATCCTCGGGATCAAGCTCCTCGAGGCAGTTAAGGGCAGTTGCCTCTTCTTCCTCGAGCTCGAATTCCTCGTAGCCCGGGTCCTCTTCCTCCTCCCCGGCAGGGTAGGAGTGAGGATCGTACTCAGACTCGTCCCCAAAGGCGGGGTACGAGGTGTCGTCGTACTCTTCGGCGTCGTCGCCGTCGTCCGGCGGCGCATCGTCGTAGTACTGCGTCTCGTCTTCAGCGACGTAGGCGCGACGGTTGAAACCCTTAGACCTATTCTTACCGTAGCCCTTAGGGTTCCCGCGGCGAGCACCAGGATGGTGATGCGATCGACGGTCCTGAAAGGTACCGCCACCTAAGGAACGACCTTCCTTTAGGTGAACGCCGCTGTAGTGCTCCACTAGGGTAGCAGCAACTGCTTCAAAGCTCCGGTTGCTAGTGGTGCATGCCTTAATGACAAGACACTCTTGCCGAGTCAATCCGGAAAGCTCCAATAGCAATTCCACGCGCATCGGCTCGGAAAGCTCGATGCTGGCGTCGAGAGTTTCAAGCAGTTTCCACCAGCGTCGTCGCCGGCTGACGTACGACAGCATCGACTCGCCGCCTTGGCGTGCGAGGACACCTTGCTTCTGGCCCGCACGGAAGAGCTCTCGGGCTTCTTCGGTCGCACGGGGGAATACGACATTCCTCAACTTGGTGATGAAATCCCGGAGGCCACCAGGGGCAGTCAGGGATTCGATACCGATATCCCGGGCGAGTTCGAAGGCTTCGTCCCGAAGTCCTTCCAGCACTTTATGCACCATTTCGGTTCGTGCTTTAACCGCATAGGATGACATTTCGTCGGCAACCGGCAGTTCCGTGACCGAGTCAGGTGACTTCGGTGCAGATGGTCTCCTGCGAGATCCACCATCAGAGGCTGCTGCTGCTGCCTCGACTGCATCTATGTCGGGCCTGTCCTCGGGGGGTACAGGGGCAGTGGCTCCCGCAGTCGGACTCTGCTCCACGACGCGGCTCTCATCGTCACTGCCTTCTTCTTCTGGCTCCACGGTCTTCTTAGGTTTGCTCCTGATAGCATCTTCATACAGTTTAAGCCTCATAGAGGTCCTAAACTCCCAGTCGTGGAACGTACTGGGGGTGCCATCATATATGTAGCTCCCGCTACGAGTCTCAAGGGGAGTACTCGAGTAGGTGGAGCGACTGTACCGAAGACCGGCCACGGACATGTTTGGCGAAAGTTCGAAGGGAAAGAATTGAGAGGGAGGTATGCAATGGTAGGTATTGAGCACAGGCTACAGGCTACTGCGATCCGCGCAGATACAGGTCCCGGAGGTACCTGGCTCCGCTGCCAGTTTGAGAAACTGGTGGATCTTTTCGCCGACTGCGAAGCTATCTGAATATGACTCAAGGGCCCTAACGGCAGCGGGAAATATATACAGTTAACACATGCATGTCATGGCCATGGCTTCCTGTACATGTACAACAGAGGGTGCATTCACATCATGCGTTCGCACATGCATGAGATCGCCAGCGCAACAAAGCACCCCGGAAAACGTATGCCCAATGAACCTTATCGGCCCATAAGCAGATGCGCATGCCTTCACGCAATGACCCGCAGCACAACAATGGATCCACAGGAACACTGCTGCTTTCCTTAAGCGGTCTCCTCTATCTTGTCCTCAAAGGTGCGGAACATCCAGCTGATGAAGTGACTCAAGGGAACCTGATCAAGCACACTACATCCCAAATTTAGGTGAGTCAGTGAGCGAGTGAGTGGGCGAGTGTGCAAAATTCCGCTGTACAATCTGCACTTTCTAGAGCCACCCAGATCAATCGATTTCCCCAAAACCACGCACTCGAGCAGACATTCCTTCGTGACGTCAAGCCGATCAGTCCAGTCTTGAGCCAATGCCACTCGGCATCAAAGCATTCGATAATGCATCATGTTCATTGGGTGCATTCTTGGGAGTGCGTGAGTGAGTGAGTGAGTCAGTGAGTGAGAGTCGGTCAGTGAGTCAGTGAGTGACTGACTGACTGAGGATGCCAACACCACAGCCCGACAGGTTAGACTTCTGCATCAGTTCCCGGTGGGAGCTGCCCGCAAAGGTGGGGCACATCATATTCCGCTCCTGGTCTGCCTGCCGGTTTCCACCCCACACTGGACCCGCAAAGGCCATCGTTCACCGCCGCAGGTGGATCAGGATGCACTCCTTGATGCCTTGGATCACCCTCAGAAGGCCACGAACCCTGCCAAAATTGCAGGAATCCGCGAAGCCGTGGGCAAGCACATTGTGACTGAGTGACTGAGGTAGGGAAAGAGGGCTGGGTGGGTGCATGAGTGCGTGAGTACGTGAACGCTTGAGTGCCTGAGTGTGTGGGTGCGTGAGTGCGTGCGAGCGAGCGTGAGTGTGAGTGTGATTGTGAATGTGAGTATGAAAATGAGCGTGCATGAAGCTGGGTGTGAAAGTGAGAATGACACTGCGACAGTGAGGTGCGTGCGACTGTGAGTGTCAGTTCGAGTGCGAATGCGTGTTGGTCGCGTGAGTGACTGACTGACTGACTGAGTCAGTGGGTGGAGGGAGTGAGTAGTGAGCGTGAGCAGAATGGAGAGAGTGGGCGAGTGAAGGGAGTGTCATGGGCAGGGGTGGGTGGAGTGAGTGGAAGGAAGCTAGTGAGTGAGTTGGTGCGTGCGTGGGTGGATGGGCGCGCTGGTCGGGCAATGTGCATGTCTGTCGTCGTAGTAGTGGTAGCAGTAGCAGTAGCAGTAGCAGTAGTAGTAGTAGTAGTAGCAGCAGCAGCAGTAGTAGTGGTAGTAGTAGCAGGATTAGTAGCAGCAGCAAGAGCAGCAGCAGGAGTAGTACTAGTAGTGGAAGTCGTAGAAGTAGAAGTAGAACTGGTAGTAGTAGTAGTAGTAGTAGTAGTAGTAGTAGTAGTAGTAGCAGTAGTAGTAGTAGTAGTAGTGGTAGTAGTAGTAGAAAGTAGTAGTAGCAGTAGTAGTAGTAGTAGTAGCAGTAGTAGTAGTAGTAGCAGTAGCAGCAGCAGTAGCAGTAGCAGTAGCAGTAGCAGTAGCAGTAGCAGTAGTAGCAGTAGCAGCAGTAGCAGTAGCAGTAGCAGTAGCAGTAGCAGGAGCAGCAGCAGCAGCAGCAGAAGCAGCAGTAGCAGTAGCGGCAGTAGCAGTAGCAGTAGCAGTAGCAGTAGCAGTAGCAGTAGCAGTAGCAGTAGCAGTAGCAGTAGCAGTAGCAGTAGCAGGAGCAGCAGCAGCAGCAGCAGCAGAAGCAGCAGTAGCAGTAGCAGGCAGTAGCAGTAGCAGTAGCAGTAGCAGTAGCAGTAGCAGTAGCAGTAGCAGTAGCAGTAGCAGTAGCAGTAGCAGTAGCAGTAGCAGTAGCAGTAGCAGTAGCAGTAGCAGTAGCAGTAGTAGTAGTAGTAGTAGTAGTAGTAGTAGTAGTAGTGGTAGTGGTAGTGGTAGTGGTAGTCGTAGTCGTAGTAGTAGTAGTAGTAGTAGTAGTAGTAGTAGTAGTAGTAGTGGTAGTAGTGGTAGTGGTAGTGGTAGTGGAAGTAGTAGTAGTGGTAGGAGTAGTGGTGGTACTATAGATAAGATAAGCACTAGTTGTCACATGGCCATCCGCACCGAATCACATAAGATGACACAGAGACCGCAGGGTGCCTTTCCAGTTCGCTCGGTGTCCAAAGCCTGCGCAAGCGCGAATTGGAGCGCCGAAGCCTTGACTCCTGAAAATCGCCACACCTGCAGAAGCCGGTCGAGGTCCGGGTCGGACATCTGACAGCAAACCTTCATGATCTTCTTCAGAAAAGCCTCTCGCGCAGTCCAGCCACTGACTGCTGCTCACCCGCCCCGTGGCACACATTGCAGCCAAGGGGCCACGGGAACCATGCCTCAGACACAAGCTCCAGACCGTCATGACCAGACGGAAGGAGCACAGACAGTAACGTACAGGGGCAAAGTCGGCAATCGGAGGCTACTGAGTCGGGAACACAGCTAAACAAACTCTAAGTCGGAAGTCAGGCACCTAATCCCTGCACAATGACAATTGAATTCTCAACCCAATGCAGACCCATAAAGGAAATACCCAAGGGGTGATCCTTGCGTGTGTGGGGACGCAAGTTCCTCAAGCTCTTGCCGAGTTGCCATCGCCAGGCGCATGCTGGGAGAAGAGCTGCACCACCTTGCCGGACCGCTGCAATGCCCGAAATTAAGAAGCTCTTTTGCCTTTTGCCCCCCCGCTTTGCTGGATCTCTGACCTTGGCCAGGGCGACGTCAGCAGCCGATGCCATCGCTTGCTTGCCGGCTGCCAGTTTGTCGGGTCTGCATAAGCGCGTCTGTGCGATGAACGGCGACGTACTGCCTTCAGGTAACTGGGTTGGGCTCGATGCCATGTGAATCTGAGCTACAGCAGCTGCCGCTTTAGAGTCGCGGTGGATGACTTCTCCAGTCTGAACGGCACAGAAGGTTTCCGGAGAAACTGGGGCCAGCAAATCAAGGCTCCAACCCAGCGAAGCTCTGACTTCCCACAGTGGCCTGAGGTTGCTGAACGCAGTGATGCAGTACTGAACAACATGTTGAAGGTCTGATCCGGTCTTGCAGACACGAACTCGAAACAAAGCCCGCGTCTGTCTAGCAAAAGTTAACACAATAAGCTGGGACTGATTTGCAGCCTCCCACCCTCAGCAGGCGACCGGTGCCAGGATCAGACTCCACTTCCTAGTCAAGGATGTAGCCAACATTAGAAAGGTAATCTGCTGAGAAAACTTGGCTGCCAGGCCTGGACATCTGCACTACATCATGAAATGAAACACCTGCTGATAAAATCTCATATACGCGGCCATAATGCCCTTGCAAGTCGTGCGTGATGGGTGCTCTCAAAAACTCGCAAGTACAGTGAACGAACATAGGAAAAACGCTCTCACGTCCAGGTCATCAATGCATGATGCCGTGAGTCGCGTCAAACGTGCATGGCATTTGAGCTCATCGCTGCAGCCTACATCACTTGCCAGCAAAACACCATATGTCAGTACAGGAACAGCGAACCGCACTTGTCTTTTCAGCGACGTGACAGAATTCCAGACTCTGCTGGGAAGCTTTCTCACATCGCTTGGAGATTCACCTTCACTTGTCTGGGACAAAAGGCTTCTCAAGCCCAACAAGCAAGCAGCGGTGCCATGCAGCGCCTGCATCTAGTGTGCCGGCGGAAGTGCCACGGCAGATATTTCGGAGTCCAAACTGCACAAGATCTTGCAAGACTGAACTGCAGCCGAGCGAACTCCAGATCAGAAAAAATGAGTCCAGTGACCTCTCCAAGTCCTTGAGCTCGGTTCGCTTTAGACGTTGCCTCAACAAACTGGCCAGAAGTACCGCAAAAGTGCAACGAAACTCGACTCAAGACAGACGCCGTGGGCGCCACAGATCGTGGAGGATTCGTTTCCTCTCCGTCTGTTCTTTCTCCAATTCTTCCTTGTCAGAGCTGCGGCGGCTAGCGGCCCTAACACAGCGTGTTGAACCGCTGAATTCCAGCCCGGCCGCCCGGCCTCGAGTTTCTGGTTGGCTGACCGCAAACCACCAGCCATGTCCTGCGCCGGGCGCCGCCGCGTCGAAGTCTCGTGCCGTCTCTTGAGAAAACAAGAGAGAACACGTCCAGAACCAGTGAACTATGCAAGAACCGCCTGCTGATTGGACAACTCCGTCTTAGAGGACTGTGTCGTGCCATCAGATGCACTGAGCCTGGCTCAAGTAAACCTTGCGATCTCCCATGGGTGATCCAGAAGCTGAGGCGCCTCTCGTGTAGATCTTCGCTCCGTGCCTTCTCAGCGACGAGAGCCTTCTGCTTTCACAGAGCACAGCAGAGCACAGCAGGGTGCAACGTCAAGTGCGGCCTGCTCCAGGTTCGTCTTCTCAAGTTCGGCAGCCTGCGATTCTGGCAACTGGCTGTGGGTCGAAAGCTGCGAGTGCGCAAACATGAACTCACGAAACTGAGGGTTATCTACTGCGTCCTGCCTTGATCTTGGACCTCAGGTCGGAAACTTCATCCAGTACCTGTCCGGTCGTGGAAGGTTCACTCTACTATGCGGTTCACTCTACTATGCTCGCCTGTGTGAGGTGGAAATCACACCATACCCTCTCAAGCGCCGTCTGCTAAGCCTAAGATAGACCAGCATAGGACTTTCATTCGGGAACCGTCTCTTCTTTTGCAGTGGCATTCCGATGTCTTGTTCCGTTGAACGTAGCAAGATCGGTTTTGTCTGCATCCTCCTACAATGTATCCTCGCCCAGAGATCTGCCCCATCAAGTGCTACTCTTCTTCATGGGTCTTACCTGGCCTTGTTCAGACGCCAGCTTTGCCGCAGAAGGTCTAGCTTCCCAAGCAATGTGGGAGCCGGCAGCGTCCAGATCTCGCAGGTGCACATACTGCTCTATTTTACCTGTCGTGATGGGTATCATTGTACAAGGGAGCGCTACTACTGCACTACTGCTGCTACTGTGACTATACAACGAACCAGTCCTGGCAGGCTCTTATCAGCAGGCACCAACACATTATTACCATCCCTCTGCAGGAGGTGGACGAGAAATCCACTGTCAGTCCTTGAGGAGGGCTTGAACTGACCAGATTTCTGTTGCCCTTCAGGTTTTCCACGCAACTCCTACTGCCATTCGCTGCTGCGGCTGCTGTTGCGGCCGCTGCCCCATCTCTATGCCTGCTGCGTCGAGACAGAGTGCTCGTGCAGCTGCGCCGTTCACGGCTTCTGCACATACAAGTGTGTTGCACACAACCACCATTACAACCACGAGTCCCAGAGCCATCTGAGAGATGCATGACATAAATGCAAGTCCAAGCGGCAGTAAAACTCAATGTCGCAAGCACCTTGCCATCTGATAGGCCAGAACGACACAGCGGAAAGTGCTTAGGGAGACGGCCATGCAGAGCGCCAGAGGGCTTCTTGCATTTGCAGGAGGCGGCCTTGGAAAGCTGGCAGAGCTGCTAGGCCCTACGCTGCGCTAGCTATGTTGCAATGTCTGGTGACTTCTGCCAGCTCTGCTGAAAGCCCTTTGCAGAAGACTTACTTCATTTTCGGAATCTGAAGCTTTAGATGTGCAGCATTGCCATTATTCAACTATCTGCATCTATCTCATGCTTCATCCTGCCTCAAGACGGGCCATGCCTCCCCCCTTGGCTGCCAGGCCAACAACGGCTCGAAGAGCTGGGGGTCTTGCCCTCAAGAGAGCCATCGGAGCATACTCGCTACAGAACTTCCACCCCTGCCTTTGAGGAATATTTCTCTGCTGGGGGTCCCGTGCCAGGCTCCTTCAGATCGCATGCCGTGGAGTAAAGAGACGATGGCGCCACCAGTCTGAAGGAATCTGTCCCCTACGCCTTGGGCCTTGGAGGAGCGAACAAAAAGGCAGGAAGGAATATGAGAGGTGCCTCTACAGATCCAGCCTCTTGGCTCAGCAACGCTTCTGTCTCTTCGTTCTCGCCCTCTCCGGGGTGGCCCCGCAGCCTCCCAGCAAAGACGACACAGGAAATGCGGAGTTTCGCCAGCAGGCTGAGGCGACCGCTCCTCTGGCCGTCGTCGGAACATGCCGTGGCATTGGCTCAAAGTGGATGCCCTGTGAAACACCTTAAGCCTTAACGTCAACCTTACGTGCAAGACTTGGCTGCGCAGTTGTTGAGGCTTCGCCCCTGTCCGACTCGCATGTTCTCTCCGGTGGCGCTCCTGACTAAGGCTTGGCTGCTCATGTCAACTAGGTTGCATCTGTCGAGGTGTGAGGTGCATGCCCATGGCTAGCGGCTGGCGGCCAACTGCTACCGTGGGACGCGGTGAATGAACGATGTTCGTGCACCGAAGATAGGAACGATCAAGAAGCCTTGAGTCTGCCAAGAGTCCATGGCTCAAGGTTGCCAGCACCGTTTTGTAAAATCGTTCAACGTTCACAGTCGAAGCCCCCTTGCTGATTGACAGTGCTTGCTCCAGGCCAGCAGAAGACGTGCGGAGCCGAGGCAGGCTGCACTGCAACGGTGGCAGAGGTCCTGCACCACGGTGCTGAAAACTCCGGCTGCCAGGCATCGATGCGTGCATTTCTCTGGAGCAGCGGAGTCATGATGATGCAAAAGCATGAAATTAATGCAACCGTTCACGCCGTGCTCGACGAGTCCTTTTTCAAGACCCGAGATGCTCACGATGACGAGGTTTTCCGCCTGCAGCAATCTCAATCTATTACTCGGTTTCAGTTGAGAATACTTGCGAACGGCGAGTTTGATGGGACTGCGTACGAGGATAACAAAAAACATTAGCCACTCGAGGGTTGTTTGTATCTTTGCTCCATGCGTGCATGCAGGGGATCTTTGCAAACGCGAGGTTGTGTCACTTCGGCCACTGCGCAACTGTCTTAGGCGCTGAAGTCTCTGCAGGAGTCCGAGGCTCGGTCCTTTTTCTCCGGTCCTCCGGGGAGGGAAAAAGCAGAAGGGCAAATTTAAACATGCTTTTTAGGTCTAAGGCTTTCAGTGCCTACAGGTCACCTCCCAAATCGAGCAATGCTCCTGCCTTGTCTTTTCTCTTGGCGCGAGAGCTGTCGTCAGACTTGCTTTTTTTCTGCCTGCCGAGTGTATCTGTGCTTTCACACAAGTGCATGGGGCCGCATTCGGCCTTTTCTCCTTCTCTTTCTCTTTGGCACGTGCTTTCTCCTGTGGGCAGGTAACTCCCCAACTTGCCTCTGACGCCTCTTAGGAAAGAGCGGGAGAGCGGGAGGAGGAGAAGCGCATCGCATCGCGCAGCATCGCATCGCTATCGCTCCATCGCTCCTTTCTCCTGGCTCGTGAGGCCGAAGGTTCGGAGCTGCTCTTTCTCCTTTTTGAGATTTTTAAAAAGAGCTTCAGCTGCAAAGACGATCCCAAGTGTTGCAATCGGCACAGCCTCTTCTCCTTACTCTCGCCCTTGCTACGCTCCTGAGCTCAGGGTTCACACAATTTCAGTATGTTCGTGGCCTGATGGGTGTCAGAAAAAGAAGACGAAGGCAGAGAGTCCTTCTCCTTCTGCTGCTTCTTGTCCTACTAGCGACAGGGACACGAAGAGCTGGGCACAGGCAAACGTGTCTTGTCGACCCGTCCTTTGACCTGGATCTGTCTTTTCGTTTCTTAGATCGTGATGCTTCTTT